GCTGTAATGCTTTTGCATGAAAATTTATGCTGCAGATCAAAAACCGTGGCGCTGAATTTGTTCAGGGAATGTTTTTACCTCCTTACTTTTTCATCTCTGTCATTCTGTCATCTCTACAATCCCTCTACTGTTGCTACTTTTCATGGAGAGAAATCATTTCTCCTCCTCCTCCTCCTCCTCCACCTGCTGCTGCTGTAACTTTCAGCTGTCATTTACAGCCCAGCCTCCAAGGTTAGAAAAGTAGGCGTGCAAGCAACAAATGAGTGGTTTGAACTTCCAGACCATCTGGGAAAAAATATGGGCGTGGAAATAATGATTGAATAATGTTCTCTCCTCCTCCTCATCAAAATGTTCATCCAAGACATTTTCTTAATATCTGTATTGATTCCTGATTTCTCACCAAATAAACACATGACCTGCCTGAGGATGGGCATTAAACTGATTGAAGTCTTTGAAATACTATCTGTCCGTGCATATACATATACATATACAGTACAGGCCAAAAGTTTGGACACACCTTCTCATTCAATGCGTTTTCTTTATTTTCATGACTATTTACATTGTAGATTCTCACTGAAGGCATCAAAACTATGAATGAACACATGTGGAGTTATGTACTTAACAAAAAAAGGTGAAATAACTGAAAACATGTTTTATATTCTAGTTTCTTCAAAATAGCCACCCTTTGCTCTGATTACTGCTTTGCACACTCTTGGCATTCTCTCAATGAGCTTCAAGAGGTAGTCACCTGAAATGGTTTTCCAACAGTCTTGAAGGAGTTCCCAGAGGTGTTTAGCACTTGTTGGCCCCTTTGCCTTCACTCTGCGGTCCAGCTCACCCCAAACCATCTCGATTGGGTTCAGGTCCGGTGACTGTGGAGGCCAGGTCATCTGCCGCAGCACTCCATCACTCTCCTTCTTGGTCAAATAGCCCTTACACAGCCTGGAGGTGTGTTTGGGGTCATTGTCCTGTTGAAAAATAAATGATCGTCCAACTAAACGCAAACCGAATGGGATGGCATGTCGCTGCAGGATGCTGTGGTAGTCATGCTGGTTCAGTGTGCCTTCAATTTTGAATAAATCCCCAACAGTGTCACCAGCAAAACACCCCCACACCATCACACCTCCTCCTCCATGCTTCACAGTGGGAACCAGGCATGTGGAATCCATCCGTTCACCTTTTCTGCGTCTCACAAAGACACGGTGGTTGGAATCAAAGATCTCAAATTTGGACTCATCAGACCAAAGCACAGATTTCCACTGGTCTAATGTCCATTCCTTGTGTTTCTTGGCCCAAACAAATCTCTTCTGCTTGTTGCCTCTCCTTAGCAGTGGTTTCCTAGCAGCTATTTGACCATGAAGGCCTGATTGGCGCAGTCTCCTCTTAACAGTTGTTCTAGAGATGGGTCTGCTGCTAGAACTCTGTGTGGCATTCATCTGGTCTCTGATCTGAGCTGCTGTTAACTTGCGATTTCTGAGGCTGGTGACTCAGATGAACTTATCCTCAGAAGCAGAGGTGACTCTTGGTCTTCCTTTCCTGGGTCGGTCCTCATGTGTGCCAGTTTCGTTGTAGCGCTTGATGGTTTTTGCGACTCCACTTGGGGACACATTTAAAGTTTTTGCAATTTTCTGGACTGACTGACCTTCATTTCTTAAAGTAATGATGGCCACTGGTTTTTCTTTAGTTAGCTGATTGGTTCTTGCCATAATATGAATTTTAACAGTTGTCCAATAGGGCTGTCGGCTGTGTATTAACCTGACTTCTGCACAACACAACTGATGGTCCCAACCCCATTGATAAAGCAAGAAATTCCACTAATTAACCCTGATAAGGCACACCTGTGAAGTGGAAACCATTTCAGGTGACTACCTCTTGAAGCTCATCGAGAGAATGCCAAGAGTGTGCAAAGCAGTAATCAGAGCAAAGGGTGGCTATTTTGAAGAAACTAGAATATAAAACATGTTTTCAGTTATTTCACCTTTTTTTGTTAAGTACATAACTCCACATGTGTTCATTCATAGTTTTGATGCCTTCAGTGAGAATCTACAATGTAAATAGTCATGAAAATAAAGAAAACGCATTGAATGAGAAGGTGTGTCCAAACTTTTGGCCTGTACTGTATATAAATACAAATAGATACATTATTATCCCATCCTGCTCCCCTCTCCTCTACAAGACGCCTGGGAGTTTGAGGGGTCTGCACAGTATCTTAGCTGTTCCTAGGACTGCTCTCTTCTGCACAGAGACCTCAGGTGTTCTACCTGGAATCTGCTGGAGCTACTCTCCCAGTTTGGGGTCACAGTCCCCAGTGCTCTGATTACCACTGGCACCACTGTTACCTGTACTCCCCGCATCTTTTCTAGCTCCTCTTTCAGCCCTTGGTATTTTTCAAGCTTCTCGTGTTCCTTCTTCCTGATGTTGCTTTCTTTCACCGCTAACTTCTTCTGTTATTTGCCCATCAACACGACATCCAGTTGGTTAACCATCACCAGTTTGTCAGACTGGATCTGGATGTCCCGCAGGGTCTTAGCTAGGTCGTTCTTAACCACCTTAGGAGGTGTCTTCCATTCTGACCTTGCCCATCCCACCCAGCCCATACTCACTGCAGATGTTCTTGTACACTATGCCAGCCACTTGGTTATGGTGTCCCATGTACGCTGTTCCTGCCTGCATCTTACACCCTGCTATTATGTGCTGAACTGTCTCAAGAGCATCTTTGCACAGCCTGCACCTGGGGTCCTGTCTGCTGTGGTAGACCCCTGTTTTTATTGATCCTGTACTAAGTTGGGATGTCCCGATCCAGCTTTTTCACTTCCGATCCAATACCGATATTACAGCCTTGAGTTTTGGCCGATACCGATACTGATCTGATCCAAGCGCCTAGTCATGTCATGTCAGTCATGTTAGAAAAGGTTTGATCTGATCAAGCTATATTACTCTAACAAGAACAGCTACTTCAATTCAATTCAATTCATTCTTTATTTCAGACCCAGGGGGATCCATATCACAATAAAAAACACAGTAAAAATAATAATAAGGTTAATCAGGTTAGTTAGAATGATCCACAACAGTTGGTATGAGAAACTGACCCGTTTATTGTGAACAGGGTTAAAGTGTGTAATATTTGGCATGGTTTATTGTCAATCTGAATCTGAATCTGAATATTCTACCCATTAATATGTTTATACAAGTGTATAATCGCTATAAAATAAAATTTGTTTGGTTTTCGTAGCCTTATAAATATGCTTTTATATATATTAATAGCAAGGGCCTTGCTTTAGAGAGGTCACCATCTTGCGCCGGCATGTATGTACGGCAGACCGAGCGGACAATCCAGCCAGCCAGAGAACGCATTTCGCGTGTATAAATAAACCAACGAAGACAGCGGAAGGAAGGAAGAAGGAGGAGGAAACAGCAGAGAGTGTTAGTAGTGTCGATGGAGAGTAGTTTTTTAGTTATAAAGTTTGCGAATGGACCCCGCTTACCATTCAACAGGAGAGAATGAACCCGAATCGTCATCTGCGAGGAAAAGAAGACGCAGCTTCACTCCTTGTGATGCACTCTCTGCAGCGCTTTTCCTCCTGATGATATATCTCCCCAACGATGGTAGCAGTAGCACCGAATCCCATTCTGTGCATTCAGCCTCTCTTCTCGCCCACTCAGCATCAAACACATGGAGTTCCTCATCTGTATGCTCCAGCTCAAACAGGTATGGCTCTGGGTCTGTGTCCGCTACAAGAAACTCTTCAAAATCGCGTTCAAAGTCGTCCATTGCAGCTACTATAGTCCGGAGATATTGCTAGGCTAAATAAACAGCTGAGCTCTGTTTACCGGCTACGCTGTCAGTCAGTGTGCGGGCTGGAGGTTGAGCAGAGAGGGGAGGGGGGTCCCCACTCAGTATGGTAAACGAGTATGTGTGTATGAAGTGTGTCTGTTACGCTAGAAGAGTCAGAGTTTGGGACGGAGTCTTTTACCCCCTGGAGTGTTACCGGAGTTTTTGGAGTGATCAAATAAACGGGCCTTTTTCCAGAACGCTACTCTGGTCTCCTGCTCGTGAGGGATTCATTACAATATCGTAACATGGTTTAGATTTCTAAATAAATATTCACCTTGTCGCTAGATAGACCTACTCCTGAAAAACTTGTGCGCAAGGCTTTTTGTCCCTACGAGGCCACCGTCATTTACCCGACGGGAGGGGTGAGCGAGTGAGTCAGTGCCAGCCTGGTGCTGCTGTTTCCTGTGTGTCTGCATGCTGGCCTGGTGGATTGATAGTAAGTGCTGGAGTGGATCACTGGAATGGACTGCTTGAATCGCGGAGCGCTGGGCTGGCCGGAAAACCTGGATCGGACTATATGAAAAACTGGATCGGAGTTCTTGGATCGGCATTTTTCCATGCAGTCCGATCCAATGCCGATGCACGATTTTTGCTAATATCGGCGGCCGATACCGATCCGAATATCAGATCGGGACATCCCTAGTACTAAGTGCCTGTTCCTGTGCTGCCATGAGTAGTGCTTCTGTACTGTCTTTCAATCAAGCCTTTTCCAGCCATTGGTAGAATTTCTTGATGTCAGCCGCTTCTTCTATCATTCAGGGGTACATGCCATGCAGGTATTGTCCTTCCGTGATGGTTCATTGTCCCATTTCTTCTGCCTTAGGCATTCACTAAGCAGCTCATCTTTGGGAAAAAAAGGTATTTTTACCGTGATATTAAGAAAGATATGCATAGCTGTCAGTATTAATTTGTCTTCTTTTCCACTTCACCTGTTGATATCTCCATCCTTCATGGTAATTAATGTCTGGGACCTGCACATGGTTTTTTTTTGACGGCACACTCCCACCCACAGCAGTGATGAAACCACCCTTTCCGGGGAGATTTGTGTTTGGTCCCATGGGATCCCAGTCCTAACAACAGCAGCAATCCCCATGCAGTCCTCTGGTTTAAGCATTACATATCTTGTTTTTGTACTGTATGTAATGCATTTGAAAGCATCAGTAAATCATTGCATTCTGTTTTTATTTACATTTTACTCAGCATCTCCATTTTTGTGGTATCAGGGTTTTAAACGGTACTGTAAAACATTTGCTCCAGGAGCTTCTTTAATCAAAATGTATCAATTAAAACGATTACAAAAAATAAAGTTTTCTTAAAGTTTGGCAGAATATAATACAGATGATTACTGAAAGCTTTCAAACCACAAAGTACAGACATTCTTATTAAAGCTCTAATGTGTCCATAACACATATATTTATGCAGCCATATCTTCACCAGTGCTTTTTTTGGATACCACATATGTTTAACCATCTCAGCTGAATTATTTACTCTCTTTGAATATCGCACAATACGCCTTCTTTTGCTGCTCACAAGTGCTTACATCTGGGATTAATTGTACTAAATTATCTGGGATGTTAATACCCCTGGAAAGTTTAAATGCATTCATTGTTTAACACACATCCCAATTAAACTATCTGATGCTGACTGAAGACATTAGAAGAAGATACACTGGACATCCCTCTAGCAAAAGGGTGTAGGTCTCAGACTTAATATCATAATACTGTTTTACAGTATACAACGTTTCTGTACATTTTCTTGGACAGCTCACAGTTTTCCCTGTCGTAAAAACATGAATCCTCAGGGATGACAAAAATTCATTAAGGTTTCATGGGCAAAAAGACAAATCCAGGCTGCCCAAACAGAAAGAAATGTACATTTATTTACATGCAGCTTCACTTGTTGAAGGCAGTACATTCAAACATCATAAAAACACTGAATCCTTGTTGTATCCTGGTCAGGTGTCCTCTGCAGGGTGTATCAGAACGGTGTAGTTGCCTGCCTTTGCCTCCTGACTGTAGACCACTGCAGGAGTGTCTTCCTTCTTATACAGCTGACATAAGATGATGATACATAGCACCACTGACAATACCTGACAGACAGAGAAACAGAGACAGTTATTGACTTACTGTTCATCTTTTGTTGCTTCATTTGCTAACCTTATCCGTTAGCTGTTTAACAGGTTTAACACTAAATGCTCAGGGTAATACACTTAGAATCTAAGACATCACCTCAACAAAGTGCAGGGAAACAGAGGCACAGAAACAACATATCTCCAACAAATTTAAGTTTTGGAAAATAAATATATATTTATATGAATCTGAATCTAAAATCTATGAATCTGAATCTAAAAATTGAAAACAAAAAATTTTGCAAACCAAACCAAATATTCAGAGGAATGAAATTATGGAATGGTTTGCCACCAGACATTACATATGCAAGAAGTGCAGCTGTTTTTAAAAAGAGGTTAAAGATATATGTGATGGCACAGAACACAATGGATGTATCCAACAAATACTGACTGTCACCCGAGAGAGCTGTTGCTTTTTTCCTAAACCTTACCATGTGCTTTTGTTGCCTAAACCCAACTATGTGTGCTTGGTGTTGAAGGAAAAAAATGTCAGTTTGCAGTGTGGTACTGATGTAGTGCATTTATTTTGAAAGAGTATAGCGTAGACTGTATGTAAATGTTGAATTTCCTGTGAAAATGGAAGTGTATCTTCAAAGAAGAAAACTTGACACGGTGTCCCAGAATGTCAACAACCAAATCACCCAGGGTACCTTGCACGTCATATGTGGACGTGGAAAGTCCATGACCAAAAAGTCAATATGTGACGAGGTCAGAGTGACAATGTGTTGGAATTGCATATACAGAGCCATCATTAATATTGTTTATACACCTGTCCTTTTTCTACTTACGAGCAGATTTACCCCAGATTTATGTTTCTATTCTTTATTTGTGCAGGTATTCTTTTCAGGTTTCATAAAGCCCTGAAAACCTTCACCAATAAGATAGGGCAGTCTGTAATACACCTGAGAGGCAAAACCCAGGGCTGATTCATTTCTTAATGCACCTTAAGTTCTTTTCTATTTGGATTTAGTGTACCAATTTCACACTGTTATATTATTTTGAGATGAGCGCTGAGGGTGTTACGTTTTTTTCTAAGTCAAGGAGACTGTCTATTGAAAGTGTTGACTAACATGGGGAGGACTTTGCTTTCAAACAAGTCAGCCATAAAGTTCAGCTGCACTCCTCACCGCAATAATACTGGCCCATTCCCTTACGAAAGAATAAACTTAGAACCTCCACTTTCAAGCCTTAAAGGAAGAGAAGTCCTTCAAGTGCTTGGGGAAAAAATGATATCTGAACATCTATAGTTTCATGACAATTGGGCAAAATTCAGAAACTCTATGAAAAGGACAAAAGGGTGAAAGAAGGCTTGTTTAAGAATAACCATTGTGATGACCATTAGTACACATTGGGAAGCTCAGCTCACGTATGTGGAAAGAGCTGGAAAAGTTAGATAAATATGAAGCCAGGTGGGTGGTTACAATCATAATAGACATATATAACAAACAGTACATACCCAGAATGATGTGATTGCCAGGTTTATACCGAATCCAATATTCATGGCTGTCATCATACCCGCAATCAAGTATGGAAGGCATGACTGAAATAGAAGAGCGGATCAGTCAATGTAACTTTACAAGTACATTGCTTCATTTTAAGGAGTCAGAACCAAAAAAAAAAGGCTGGAAGTCACAGTTTTAGACAACAGAAAGAATACTTTGTAATCTTAGAAGTATTTTCAATAGACTGTACATAAAGGTGGATGACACGACTGCTCTCCTAAAGTGAAGCCAAACCATCAGCTGTAGTATAGGCCCGCCCTCTCTATGTTAGCAGAATGAACCAAACTAAAGATCAAAGTACATATAAAATAAATAAATAAATATATAAATAATTTCTGTCATTTTATGTAGGGGTGTAACGGCTCACAAAATGGCGTAGTGGTGTCACAGTTTGGTACATTTACGTTTTTAAACTACCATTATAACTTGGACTGTTTTTTTGTACAAAGCAGGAATTACAGTCTGGCTGAAATGGGCTCCTGAAGGAATATTGTAATGGGGCTCAGTCACAGTAGGCATATTCATACAGCCTATGTTTTCAACTACTGAGTCTGGTCTTTTATCTGCGGCTATAGAGGTAACATTAGGTCAAGACAGCATGTTGTGTTGCCTGTTGCATCATGTGGGCTGCCATGTTGAGTGAGAACATAATGTTTTACACAGTTTAAGCTGCATATTTTATCTTCCAAATGTAATGGGTAATGGGTTAGTTAAAATATTTGTTCGGTTTGTAATGCGGACCAAACCCAAAGCCTTGAACCAAACAGTTGAATATAAATACATGTATTGTTACACCCCTAATTTTAGGTAGTTCTAATTGTGTTAATGTTTGTGTTAGGTGTTAGGGTGTGTTCTGAATCACATACTTTTTCTTTTTACTTATAATATGTTCTGCAGCTGCCGTTAAAAAACACGTACTGTTGCATGCAGTATGCACACAATTGGGATATACTACTGTCTTATAACATTACTCCTGAACTTTGACCCTCTTGCTTTTGTATCTGTTACCATGGAGATAAAACAAAAAAGTTAGAACTGCACAGATTGTTGATTCTAACATCTTGTTATTTAGTTATGTGCAATTGTCGTTGGCAATGTTGATGATTATTTTGTTCACTTAAACAATTGATATTCTTGTTATTACTATTCAACTGGTCATCAGTTACTCAAATGCACTGTCATCCTTCATTGCGACTTCTGAGAGATGTCAGTCAGCTGTCAAACAGTGACATCTGTTTGCGGCTCAGTTGATGGGAGGTATCGCTCGCTGTGCAGGATTGTGGGTCAGAACAGCTCAGCTCAGCTTATTTTACTGATAAGTTTGGTGTGAGTGTGACTTCATGGTTGACAGCTGTGTGTGCCAGTCGGTATGCTCGGGATCAGTGGCGCTGCTTGTGATTGGTTAAAAGTTTGGATGTAGTTTGGAGATCAGTGCTGCGCAGACTCTGACTCCAAATGCAAGATGCCAGTGGCTGTATCCAGAATATTTTGGCTTCATTTTTGCAGAGGAAAGGAGTAAGTGGAGATGTGCCATCCATCTTAACATACAGTTTATTGTGGTACCCTCCCTCTATATTAGGAGGCTTTGTAAATGTAGCCCCATGCAGCAACATAGAACAACGCTTCACTGGACCTGATAGCATGCTCTCTAATGTGAGTAAGACTTAGACTGCACTTTCTGAGAACATGTTTCTGTTCCTGTTTGGTAGAGAAATGGAAATGCAGCACTATAGAAAGCTTATTAGGGTTTTTTAATAGCTGTCTGCTGAAATCCAACAATTGTTTTGCTGTTTTATGTAACATTTGGTAGAGTATATTCACACAGTATAAATGGAGACAAGCTTTTTCTTGCAACATTGGTTAATACGATAGCAGTTTGCACATCAACCTGTCAGTGTAGAAATTAACATTTTGATTATAATGCTTTTATTATTACCTCTTCATAAACCATGATGGGCTGGTCATCGACCCTGTGCTCATACAGACTGCTGTCCTTAGGAGCTGCCACCTAGAATACACAGATAGAATCAAGGATCACCTGAGTTATTACAGTTCATCCTGAGGGGGACATTAATGAGTGTACCAGATTTCATGGCATTCATCTAAAGGTTTTGCGCGACTCTAAGTCTGGATGACTTGATGAAAATCGATTCATCGACATGCATTTTTTTGACTTTCTCACCATGTTAAAGGGGTGGTTTTGATGTTCTGAAGTGGGATAGTATGGGCTGCTTATTCAGTGTAATGCATTCAATAGATGTCGGTCAGCATGCCTGCAGTTTGGAAAAGCAGGCTGGAGTCCGACACGCAAGCTAAGCAATGTACTGCTGCGGATGGGGGTCAGCAACAAAACTTAATTTAGCCTCTTAAAAATGCCCCATGTAAAATAATCAATAGAATTCGAAGTGTACGCTATATTTGGAGTATTAACTGTTTTACCTTGCTGTCAGACAGCCTGTTCCAGCAGGGAAGAAGTTAACAGCTTCAGTTTCCAATCTATGTCAAAACCACCAAACTTCAGAAACAGTCATTTTAGCTCATTGAACAGGGGAGCCACTGGTCTACTGCTGCTTCGATTACTTGTGTTTGTGTTTTGTATGACTTTGGTGAATCCGAACTAACCCTTGTAAATGCCATAGTCACACAGTAACACAAACAAAACATCTGTCTGAGGCAGCTGTAGACCAGCAGCTCCTGTGTTCAGCGATGGTAAGTTACTATTTTTTTTTGTTTGGCTTTGAACAGAGTGAAAGTTGAAATTGCTCAGACATTAAGGTAAAGCAGTGGTAATAGTCTAAATATAGCGTACACTTAAAGGGAAATTTCGGTTTATTTCAACCTGTCTCCTATCGTCCTAAATTTGTTTCAAGTGACTAGTGACATAAAAATAATAGTTAGCATGTTAGCCGTTAGCCTAGATACAGCCGGGGCGCATAGTAGTGTCAGACCTGTTAAAACGTAAGTGAACGGGCAACCTTCAAGTGCAAAGTTAGTCCACTAAACAAGCTTTTTCTCCACAAAGACCGCCTCATATCGTTAGGATAAATGTCAGAGAACATAAAGAAAATGACATGTAAACGTGTTGTCTTACCTTACCGGTGTGCTGCCATGTTTGTTGTTTACCATTTAGCTCTGCTTTCCAAAGCGCGGCTGAAATATCGCGAGAACAAGCAGCGACAGCTGGAAGGCAGAACCGGACAGTAGCCTGAAAAGTTTATTCATTTATTTTATTAAAGATTTATAGAATAAATGCTGACTTTTTGCCAGACTTCGTCTTTGTGGAGGAGGAATTTGATTTTGCAGAGTTTGATGGCCGCCCTTATTTATTTGAGCCAGAATACACTGACGAAGAGCTTTGTGAAATTGAAGAACGGAGGAGGAGAGAGAGACAGAGGTGCAACAGGTAGAGGACGAGAGAGGAGGAATGGCTGCTGCAAGGCTGCGTAGCTCTGGAGATTGGTGGTGTACCTGTGAATGCTGTGCCCCAGTGCCCACAGAAGAGGAATGCCTCTGTTGCAAGGAATGGGACCGGTTGCAGCCTTATTTTCAAGGTCTGGATGTGACCGAGGATGAGACACCTCCACCTAGAGTAGTACCCAGCTAGGCTTTATCTAGAGCTCGCGAGATATATTTTGGCCGCACTTTGGAAAGCAGAGCTAGATGGTAAACAAACATGGCAACACACCAATAAGGTGAGACAACATGTTTACATGTCGTTTTCAGTATGTTCTCTGACATTTATCCTAACGATATGAGGCGGTCTTTGTGGGAAAAAAAGCTTGTTTAGCCTCTTGCACTCCACCCCCATTTTGTAGTGAAAACACCTAAAATGACACAAGTTTGAAGAAAATTGCTCAAAGTATGACCATTCTACAGTGTTTTTTCCATGCAAAGATCCAGGCGGACCTCCACATGACAGAGCGCTCACTCCGCTTCAAAACAGTACTATCAGTGATCAAACAACACTCAGCCAGCTTCAAACATCGTACCTTATTGAAATCAGGTGTGATTATGATAGCTGATGTTGTTTATGACAGAAACACCATAAAATATCACCAAATAAAGCCATATGAAACGTGAAAGTTGTGATCCCACTTTCTAGGCGGTATATCTCAGCCAAAAATAGTGGTAGGAGTGAGACTCTTACCTTTTATAAACCAGCTACGTGTCCGCTAACAGATCCGCATGAGATCACGAGTAATCCTTTAACTTGTCCCCTCGAAAAACGGCATGACATGACTTGTCACCACTCATGGCGATTATGGACTTTGTGTATTTAGGCTGCTCTGGTGCGAAATCTGTAAGGAATAAAAGAAAAACGATGCCCGATTCAGGAAGCCGAGAGCTTCCTGAATCTGGTGATACCAAGCATCACATGGTTTGATGACGTAGTGCGCCTGTGAGATGCCATTTAACAGAGGAGGGAGGGAGCGCGGACGCCGGCGTCAGTGGACTAACTTTGCACTTGAACGTTGCCCGTTCACTTACGTTTTAACAGGTCTGACGCTACCATGCGCCCCGGCTGTATATAGGCTAACGGCTAACATGCTAACTATTATTTTTATGTCACTAGTCACTTGAAACAAATTTAGGACGATAGGAGACGGTTTGAAATGAACCGAAATTTCCCTTTAAACTGATACTGATTTTTTTTTTAGGTGGTACTTTTTTTAGGTGGCTAAAGTATATTTTGTCGCTGACCCCTCCACAGCAGTACATTGCCCATCTTTCATGTCAGACTCCAGCCTGCTTCTCCAAACTGGAGGCGTACCCCCTGACAACTACTAGGTCCCCCATACAACCTCACTTCAAAAATATGAACTGTCTCTTTAATTTTTAATGGCGTCACAATGAGATACAGTATTCTCTACGTTTTACCAATGAATACTATCAGTGGGTCTTGTTGGACGAACTGAGTAGCTTTCACACTCACACATGGACGAGTGGACTCTTGTGTGCACAAGCAGGATTCTGAGATGTTGTAGCCCCAGTCCAGGTAGCCCTTATCCAGTCCACAACACTGATACTGAGAAGGGAGACATAAGGAAGATGGATTACTGCAATGCACTTGAAACTCTGCCTTTTCTCTGTTAGAAAATGATGTTGTTTAAACGACTCAACAGCAAGTCGAAGTTGCTCATTTTATCAGGAGAGAATGAGCTTCTGTATTTGATCCTCCACATCCATATGTTCAATCTACACCTTGGTCTTTCTGTATTAGAAAAACGTATTTACTGAGGTGTTTTTGTGTATGTTAGTGGTGGTGTGTGTATGTGTGCTGTCTGTCAGTGTTTCATGTTGGTTTATCAACACATCTGATTAAAATGAAGATGAGACAAAAATGTGCTTGATCTTGAATGCATACATGAACTCAGACACCCACACAAGGTCACCTACTTCCATCTGTGTATCCTTGAAAATCTCTACAAAAATCTCACTAGCATTATTCAGCGGCAGCATTTTCAGGTATTGCTTCTTCATTTCTTCAACCATCTGCACACAAAACAAAGTAACATAAGAAATGAGACAACCAGCAATTTGAAAATGCTACTAAACCAAACCAAAAAACCACCAGCAGACATGTTTTTGTTGTAAATGACGTTCTCAGAATTCTGTGTTATCTTTCAGGAAAAGGTTATTAGTGACACCAGTAGCTGTTAGGTGAAATACAGTCAGCATCCCGTAGCCAGTGCTCACACTTGGTAGGCGCGAAAAAGAACCTTGGCCCAGTTGTTTAATAAATGTAATCTGGTCAGAATGATTCAGATTTGGAAATCACAGGTTTGTGCTCTCCAAGATCAGCAAATCTATTTCCCTTATGTGCCGAGGAAATTATTTTATTATTACAACATTGTATTCATATATTCATATTACAACTTTTGTTTTTGCTCCCATTTTTCATGAGCTGAACTCAAAGATCTAAAACATTTTCTATACACACAAAAGACCATTTCTCACAAATATTGTTCACAAATCTGTCTAAAGTCTGTGTTAGTGAGCACTTCTCCTTTGCCGAGATAATCCATCCCACCTCACAGGTGTGGCATATCAAGATGCTGATTAGACAACATTATTATTGCACAGGTGTGCCTTAGGCTGGCCACAATAAAAGGCCATTCTAAAATGTTCAGTTTTATCACACAGCACAATGCCACAGATGTTGCAAGTTTTGAGAGAGCGTGCAATTGGCATGCTGACTGCAGGAATGTCCATCAGAGCTGTTTCCCGTGAATTGAATATTCATTTCTCTACCATAAGCCGTCTCCAAAGATGTTTCAGACAATTTGGCAGTACATCCAACCGGCTTCACAACCACAGACCACGTGTAACCACACCAGCCCAGGACCTCCACATCCAGCATGTTCACCTCCAAGATCGTCTGAGACCAGCCACCCGGACAGCTGCTGCAACAGTCGGTTTGCATAACCAAAGAATTTCTGCACAAACTGTCAGAAACCGTCTCAGGGAAGCTCATCTGCATGCTTGTCGTCCTCATCGGGGTCTCGACCTGACTGCAGTTCGTCGTCGTGACCGTCTTGAGTGGACAAATGCTCACATTCGATGGCGTCTGGCATGTTGGAGAGGTGTTCTCTTCATGGATGAATCCCAGTTTTCACTGTTCAGGGCAGATGGCAGACAGCGTGTGTGGCGTCGTGTGGGTGAGTGGTTTGCTGATGTCAACGTTGTTGATCGAGTGGCCCATGGTGGTGGTGGGGTTATGGTATGGGCAGGCGTATATGTTATGGACAACGAACACAGGTGCATTTTATTGATGGCATTTTGAATGCACAGAGATACCGTGACGAGATCCTGAGGCCCATTGTTGTGCCATTCATCCACGACCATCACCTCATGTTGCAGCATGATAATGCACGGCCCCATGTTGCAAGGATCTGTACACAATTCCTGGAAGCTGAAAACATCCCAGTTCTTGCATGGCCAGCATACTCACCAGACATGTCACCCATTGAGCATGTTTGGGATGCTCTGGATCGGTGTATACAACAGCATGTTCCAGTTCCTGCCAATATCCAGCAACTTCGCACAGCCATTGAAGAGGAGTGGGCCAACATTCCACAGGCCACAATCAACAACCTGATCAACTCTATGCGAAGGAGATGTGTTGCACTGCATGAGGCAAATGGTGG